CTCACAATTGCTTTGGCCTCCCGTTTGGATTTCTTTTTAAATTCTGTCGGTTCATTAAATGTCAGATCGTCTTCAGTCCTTCTGGTTCTGCTGCGCCAGAAAATAGACAATACAGATGCTAACTCAGCTTATTAATGTCTACCCTAAAAGTCAGTGTTTATACTAACTCATTTTATATTTTAGGAGTAAAAACAACCCACGGCTGAAGAAACAACACACCGGTGTTGGCGGCATTGCTCCCTGAGTGACGATAGAAAAATAATAAGACCTGTACCTTTTTTATGTTTTTACTGGAGGGAACAAATGCAAATGTTCTAAAGATTATGGGTCTATTTTTCTGTGCCTGTAGCTGAACGTTACATTTTTGTTTGAATTTGCAGAAGAGCCAGATGAATTTTTAGTGCGCTGTAGCTGAACTGTCAAATGCTCAAAGCATCTGACAGGTAAGTGACATTTCAAAAATGAGTTGAAATCCCCACAAGCACCAGTTTATTGCTGTAAATAAAGGCCTGAAATGCCAAAGAATTGTTTAAATATAATTAAAGCACTGAGAGAGGATTGTTTAATCATATCTATTTGCAGCCTGGCTGCAAATAGATATGATTACATCATTAGCTAAATGTATGGAACAAAGATTCAGAAACTTCAAACTGGAAATGAGCTTGTGTTGTAACTCAAGCCCCAGATTAACAGAGTGTTTACTTACATGTGACCATATGTACATCCTGATCAAACATAGGCTAAAGTAACACTGACTGGTTGTGTTTGGTGGAGAAATTTTGGAATATGTGGGAATATTTTTGAGGTGAAATCCCATTAGAAATCCAAAGTTATCGACTGGTTGTAGCTATTCCCGCCTGTGTTATAGGAGAACACAATCGTAACACGAATGCTCCTAATGCAACGTTTCTTTTGAAACCCCAAAAGCTGTTAGCTTTATTTTAAACCAAATGTTACAGACTGAATGAGACAAACAATTTCACTCGAATCCTTCACACCCAGGAAGTGTGAAAGTCCTGTGACAGAAGAATTTTAATGCAGGTTGTAGTTTGTGCTTTAAACTATTTAATTCTGATCTTGATTGAGAGGAGTGATTTTTTTCCCTTTGTGTGTCTTTTATTCTGGTTTTCACTTTAAAATGAAAAATAGTAAAATGTCAACAACAAAAATACTGTTCCATTATTTAGCTAAGCTGATGTCCTCATGGGAGTTTTAAAAGACTCCACTTTAATGTGAGACTAAAAGTAATGTAAGCAGCTGATGATCACTCAGAGAAGAACATTCACTCCAAGGTCAAGCCAAAGATGTAATGAATAATTATTGTGGAAAACAGAATGAAAAGCCTAAAGCTGTTTATTTTTCT